TTATAAAAAAAAAAAAAAAAAAAAAAGAACCAGCCGGTCTTTGTTTTGAACCACGGAGCGGCCCAGGCGACGTTTCTGGACCATCGACTGCCAAGTCCCTCGGAATCGTTCCGCGCCCCCGCGCAGAGCAGATGGCACCCTTCTTTTGGCCCATCACCACGGGGGAGGGGGCAAGAAGGGCAAGCGCCTGCGCGACTGACCGACCCCTCGTGACCACAGCCATAGCATATATATAACGGACACTCGTACACGTGGCATGTACAGGTGGCACGGTCGCATTCACCCACATTCTCCGCTTCTTCTGACCTTTGACCTTGGAAACCTTTTTTTATTTACTTTTTTTTTTTACCGTGGTAATCTTACACGTGGCAGGGTCGCATTCACCCACATTCTCCGCTTCTGACCGTTGACCTTGGTGATTTTTTTTGTTTTGTTTTTTTTACCGTGGTAATCTTCCACGTGGCAGTGACCGGAAACGATGCATCTCGAGGTAATGGGAGCTTGCGCCCCCGAGGCGAGGTCGCACTAGCAAAGTGGATTTGATTTAACGCCTGAATCTCGACGTGTTTGTGGAGAGGTGCAGAAAATCACGATAGATCTGCTTCTCTGCATCTCTGCATGAAACACATCCAGATTCTGCCCCTCAATCCAATGCTCTTTGCTACTGTCGTGAGACCTCGGCCCCCAAAGAGAGACAGACAGCTCCATTCGTCTCAGAGCACGTCAGCTGAAAATGGCACACGCGGGCAGACGTAGCTAGGTAGCTTTTTTTTTCTTTCTTCCCTGCAGGTAGATAACTACTTGCTTTGATTAATGAGTCCAGCTGTTCTCCTTTTAATCAATGCCAATAATGAGCCGAAATTTTAAGCGCTGTTCATCACAATAGAACCGGCGGTTATATATCTCCATCTCAATGGAGTTTTTAATTAAAAAAAAAAGGGGAGAGAAAAAAGAAAAGGTCCACCCACGCTCTGCATCCACTGGACATTGCCCGTCGTTAAGGGCTCCGTTTCCCCCAACCCCCCGGGGGCGGGGGGGGAGGGGGGAATCCGTAACCTTGCCTCTCTCTTTAATGCACGGAATGACACGAGGAGGCCTTTCGGTTCATTCATTTCAGGGCGCGCAGTACCTCCACTCCATATATTATATCGCGTCAGCAAATACACTCGGAGGTGCGCTTTCTTTTTTTTCTTGTTTTTCTTTTTTTTTGGAGAAAAAAAAAGAAATTGTCCTTTGGTTGGAACATGATTCAAATTTAGGTCTGCTAAGAAGGGGGGGGGGGGGAATTGGTCCGTTTATCAACAGGTCTTCGGCGTACCAGTCGGCCAGGGTGTGCGCGTGCTTTTCCCTTACTTTTTTTCTTTTTATTTTTCTTTTTTCTGATTATTTCTTCTTTTTTTCCCCCTTAACTAAGCTATTTCTGATTATTTCGGTAATGGCCATGCATTTTCTTTTTCTTTCTCTTTTCCTTTTACTGTATATTATTTCTTATTATTTATCTCATTTTCCAAAACGTTCATCAATGACCGTGCTCACCGTTCGTCGACTACCATCATACCTTCCTCTTTTTTTTTCTTCGTTCTTTTTTTTTTCCTCCTCCTTTTTTTTTTTTCTCTCTTTTGCTTTTTTATTCCTTTTCCGCTTTAAATTTGTTTCAGTTTGTTTATAGGTTCGCTGGCTAGCATATTACCTTTTCTTTCTTTCTCGTTTTTTTCCCCCCCGGAATTCCGCTCGTCACGAGACCCCTGCCTTCCACCAAAANAGAGAGAGAGAGAGAGAGAGAGAGAGAGAGAGAGAGAGAGAGAGAGAGAGAGAGAGAGAGACGTATATAGCAACGAAAAATTGTGCCGTGTAACCAGATGCAGAATAGAAGATGGGGAAAAAAGTGGGAAGACAACGAATAAACGATGGAGATGGAGCAATGGAGGTGGAGGCAAAGAAAGGGAGACCGATGGTAAACTGATTCGCAGCAGCAACCAGCCAGATGTCCAGCCGGGGCCGATCTGCTAACTTAGGTTGATGGCTAAAAGTGGGACAGTGGACATGTCCCAAGGGCATATGAGAAATAGGGGGCCTTACTCCACAGCTCTTTTTTTGAAAGTGCATTGACAGCGAAGCAAACGGCCTAGCTCAGTTCGTTAGGCACGCGAGTGGCACTCAGGAGGTCGTGGGTTCAATCCCCTGTGACTGCCTGGGCACGCTTGGTGCCCATCAACTGAGATAGTTGGCTTGCTCCCCCTACCCAGTCGGTATCGGTGGGGTCTTAGGCCATCACGGTGCGGGGGTGGTTGTGTGTGGTGTGTGGGAGAGTGCTTGGCATTATTGTAGACATTGCTGTTACTCGATGCGGATGGGAAAGTAGCTGGGAGCCACAGCTTCTCGCAAAATGCTGCACCTTTGCGTTAGCCGCCGGCCACCACCAGCGGCCCCACCCTACTCCCTGACCTCGGCCCATTAGGGTAGGGTGCAACATCCACCTCGTGGGTCAATCAAACCACGTGCCAAGAGAAAAGGAACCACTGTAATACCTTTCTCGCGGCCTTTTGCGTCCATCGCATTCACCAAAAACCCTAAAAACCACATAAAACGAGAACCAGCGCAGGCGTGAAATATTTTCTTTTTGGCTCGCGATGCTACCCGTAGCGTTATCCTTCCTTTTCCCAAAAAAAAAAAAAAAAAAAAAAAGGTTATCCTTCGGTTAAGCCCAGTCCCTACCTATATTACCACGGCGTGTTGACACCCCGGGACTAGGTCCCACTTACACGAATTAAGCGATATTGAGCGTAGATAGCAAAGATCAACGGCCAGATTCTCCTACTCTGTGCAAGTGGGACCTTGCCCCCGTGTAGGAACAAGAAAGAAGAAGGAGGAGTCCCTCGTAGTGAAGGTCGCAAGCTTGACTGACCCATGCTCACTGCATGCCAATGGCTCGCCTCGCTGCATTGGCCGGGTTCTGTTATCACCAGGAAATCGATGGAAATGGTGGCTTCTTTCTCTGGGCAGGGTGCTCTTAGAGCGCCGAAGTAGAGGGAAACCAGATATGCCAGTATCAGGATTTGACCGTTTCGGCCTAAATCTGGGGAGGGAAACAATCTCGTCCACTTGCCCTGAACCACACTTTCCTCGATTCTCGATTTATGCGTGTCATCCATGCGCCAGGGGCCATAGTTCGGGGAGAAAAATAATAAAAAATATTTCAGACGGATGTGTGCGCAGATGTGTGTGCACACGCTCTTGCTCGCTGGCTTGCTGTGCTGCTCTCTCTCTCTCTCTCTCTCTCTCTCTCTCTCTCTCTCTCTCTCTCTCTCTCTCTCTCTCTCTCTCTCTCTCTCTTTCTCCCACACACACACACACCCACCCCCCAAAAAAAAAAAAAAAAAAAAAAAAAAACACCCCTCTCTTCCACACCTCTCATACCTTGTTCTCATGCATCCATTTTACAAGACCCTTGCAGAGGTCGATCACTTTCCCCTCCTCTCCTTCTTTCGCTGTCAGGGTAGCTGACAACACGTAGTTCTTGGTGGAAACCTTTCGTTTGGCCGCCCACACTTGCAGACCTTGCCGCCCACTCGTCGCAGCTTCCGCGTCGCACTTTTGTTGTGTGACCATTTCCAACCGATTGCCCGCCAAACTCGAGCCCAAGCTGACCCCTCCACACTTGCTACATGCCAGGAGGCTATGGCTACTCCTGCTCGCCCGACACGTCCGCGAACCCGACCCCGACCCCGACCCCGACCCCGACCGACCTGGGAGGGCATTCCATGTTGAGAAACTTCTGTGCGTCGAAGACCCGGCGCTTCGTCCGGAAGACAGCTGCGGTTGCTGCGGTTCCCCTGACCCAGAAGGTGCCGCACAGCCGGTGCGCGGAAGTTGGGCGACGCCTGCCATCAGCGCCTGCGTGGCTCGTGCCGCCATAGCCGTTGACTCGACAGGCCCCTGAAGAAGAAGAACCAGGGTTTCTTCAAACAGCTGAACGCGGCTAAGCGAGGATGGTAAGCTCAGCTATGGACGCTCTACCGTGGCAGGGTGACCACGGTACTCTCCGCGCGGCACGCTCAGTGTGAGGGTTGAGTGGCGGGGAGATGCTCCGGCGCTGCCCGATGCGGGTGGTCCTGTCCCGCGCAAATCCAGCGGGATTCAGGGTGGCCAGGGGCGGGGGGGAGGAGGTGGAGGAGGAGGGGGAGGCGGGCGCGAGGAGGAATCTTCCCCGCCCTGAACCCAGCCCTCACCTGTCTGATCGGTGGGGGTTAGGCCGGGGGCTAGCTCCCACTTGCACGAATTAAAAGATAGAGACCGTAGATAGCCGAGAGAGATCAACGGCCGAAATCTCGTAATCCGTTCAAGTGGGACCTTGCCCCCGGCTGAAGCTGATCCGAACGTCCAGTGATTGGTGGAGTACCGGGGGCGCTCCGTGACGTGGCATGTCAACTGGCACGCCGCTGCCGCGCGTTGCAGCGGACTGTAGGCCCGCCAGTGGAGGCGGTGGCGGGCTAAACAAAATCAACGATATCCAGCCGTCGATCTGCAAAATCTAAGCGACGGGCCAGGCCCGCCAAATGTAAAAGATGGTGAATATATGGTGTGGGCCTCGCTCCACAACTCACCAAATGAGCAAAATGAGAATATGCATCTGCCCGCCTTGAACATGGAAAGAGACACCGCCGTATTTTCTGTCTTCTGTTTGGACAGGGTTTTGATCTCGGGATGCCTATCTTCTAGTATAGGATGCTCCTTGCTTGTTTTGTTTGATTTGGTTTTCTGTTAATTTTGAATTTGAACCGTGGCATTGTGATATAGGTGAACATTTGCTTTGTCGTTTGGACTGTTCCTAGTTAGGCCCGGTGATAGTACGACACCGGTTTCTTTTGGTCCTGTCGGACCGGACCATGGTACCGTCTGGAAATTTCTTGTTAGGACAGTTCCACCTCGAAGGAGGGGTACTTGCCCTACCCAAGTTTTGATGCTTGGACTACAAATACGTAGACAGTAGTGGTAACGGGCCTGTTGGGTTCTGCGGCGAATGGTTGACCGACGGTAAACTATCGCCCGCGGCTGGCGTGCGGTGAGCGGCAGTTTCTGGGTTTGTTTTTGCAAGTGGTTAACCCTTTGGTTTATCATCACATGTCTACTGTCACTACAGCGACCGCGTCTCCCTACAGTGTGTGCTACTAGTAACATCCGTGTGTGAATCACCATCACTACGGTGACTGGGTCTTCCTACACTGTGTGCTACTATTGTTAGTATCATCTGTGTGAGAACCACTATCATAATCTATATACTGCATGCGTGAACTTATCTGGGGAAGCTTACCGGATTTAAGTGAGCGTCATTATCGGTGCTGAGTCATTCATCGTTTTCCGAATATTGGCCACGTGTTGTCTAAGTAAAGTGAGGGTCTGTGTTTACGACACCAGCTCGGGAGACTATCTCGGATCTGCTTGGCGGTGGAGACTGGAGACCTGTTCAGCGCGTTCCAAGATGTCAAGCTCCGAGCGTTACGGCGATGACAGAGATCGACGACCCTACAGGTTGTCCGTGAAGTGCTTCAACTGCGATGAGTCGGGTCACTATGCTAACCAATGTCCTCATCGGGAGCGACGCTACAGCTCAAGCCGACCTTCCACCTCGCCGGACTCTAGAAGAGCTCGTTCACCGCGGAGGTTCGAAACTCGCAAGAGTTACACCGCCCCGAAGGAGGAAACTGAGCTACGGGAGAGGGTGGTGGAGCTGACCAAGGGAGTGGCAACCATCAAAGAGCACTTCAAGTTTGAAGCAGTACAAGCGAAGAAAGAGGAAAAAGCCATACATAAGCTTGAGAAAGCACGAGCCATAGAAGAAGAGAGATTGAAGCAGGAAGAAGAGGACGCACGTTTGGCTCAAGAAGCAGCTCGACGTGAAGCCAAGAAACAAAAGAAGGAGGCGAAAGCGAAGCAGGAAGCCATCCTGAAGGCGGAAATGAAAAAGGAGGTGACGATGCATGCAGCCTTACTAATGAGTGAAATTAAGGATGATTCGATTCAACAATGGAAGACATTTGTTATTCCGACTCTTGCAGGAGACAGATGCGACATCAAAGGGAAGAAGGAAGTCGTACACGAACCGGAGTATGGGAGTGAGCCGGAGTAGAGTAGCGAGGGGAGTGAGACCAACGTCACACAGGAACTGAGTGAGAAGACCGAACGCCTGTGCATCACAGAAAAGAGGAAGAGAGCTGACGATGTTCCGATTGGCGACAGTCCACCTATGGAAGCACCTCCTAAACGCACCCTAATGCGTGGATGTATCCGCATTGGGGAACACAGCCAACGGGTGACCAGAGCAAGGACTAAGGGTACTCGTACTCCGATCCGGGCGAAGAAGCATTCGCCCATCAAGACTCCGTTATCGAAGTTGACGAAGTACCGTAAGCTGTCTCCTCCCAGCGGGAAGCTGACTTCTGCCAGCAAGTCGCTCTCGCGCCTACGCTTTCGCGACTCCGTTACAAAGGAGTTGAAGGATTGCAATGCCAAAGAGTTGCAGCGCTACGGCAAGGATGAAGGTATTCCTTATGTAGGCAAGATCGATGCAATCTTTGATCTTGCCGAGCACCGCGAGCAACTGCGTTTTCCGTGTATTGTCCTAGCTTCGGATGTTATCCAGATCAGTGAATCGAAGGATGTTGAGGCAAATGCTTCAACCGAGAACCAAAAGTGATGTGGTATTCCGGACAACCGTTGGCTGGAAATTTGTAGATACATCACCAGTAAACGTTGTTCTCAGGTAAGTACCGATAAGAAGTTGGAGAAACTGTTGCGTTTCATCGTGATGGTCATACTGTTAGCCCTGACTGATCGGGTTAGATGGTTGCAGAGATATGTTGGTCCATGGGTTCGTTTGTATGGGCTATTCGGGATTGAGTTTCTAAACAAAGAGGGAATCATATATGATGTCATCTCACCTTATTGTAAGCATTGTTATGTCGGGAAGACCACACGTACCTATGACGTTAGATGGCGAGAACACCTCTATGCGGTTAAGAAACGGGCGCAGTCCCATTTTCATCGTTGGATCGCTTCCTTTCGCTTAGGGAACTATGTTTTGCTTCCAGTGGACGTGCTTGTTGGTCGGGATATGAACAGACTTGAGGAATTGTATATTGGTAGGTGGTCACCTTTCCTTAATACCGTGAGGACAAAGGCTTCTAAGAAGTTGAAGAAGAAGAAACCAGGACGGAACGAGAGGATTATAAGTAAGGAAAAACGGACTTACTTACCTCAGGAACGAGGAGTCGGACCTGTTCGCTTCCGATGTATTGATAATGATATCGTCTTCCTTGACCTCTATGCGTTTTTGAATTCGTACCTTGATTCGGGGAATCTTCCCATACGGGTGAGATCCGACGGTGGTACGGATTGGACCCCGAAGTGGAAGTTGTCTCGTATGTTCGAGGAAAGTAAAGTGAAACACCATTCCATATGTCGACCACTGAAGGACTGCAAAGCATTGTGGGAGAAGGGGGGCGAGTTTGAGATCCTACATGTTGTAAAATGAAAGACCAAGTGTAAATACCTGAAGAATGTGCTGGTGAGTATACTACGGAATCCGAGGAAACTGGAAGACGTCTATAAGTGGGGTATGAAATCTATCCTCCGATTGTATCGAGCGATTAAAGACTTTTCGAAAAAGTCCACACGTAAGTATCTACGGAGGCTGATTTCTCGATGTTTTTGGAAGCGATTCAATCTTAGCCTAGCTTCTGACCTTACTTTTCGAATCAAGTACGATGACCGTGTTGTGATCTCAGAAGTGAGGAAGGTAGTCAATGATGTCTTGATGAGTTATCAATTACCACAGTGTTTACCCTTCGCGCGAGGAGAAAAATTCGCATTGTAGGGACTAAAAATCCCACAATTGCTGATTTGTTGCACAACCACAGAAGAGCTTCTTCATCTGGTGTGCTCACCTGTAACTGTACGGGTATGACTTTCTCTTGCGTGAACGGTCACATGATGTTTGACTGAGTGAGGTAGATGACTTGCACCCACTCCTGACGAACGCGAAGAATATCCCTCGTGTTGAGTGCGTTGACAGACTCAGTCTCCTACGGGAAGAAATCAAATCGGGCTTCAGAAGTTGGAAGAATTTGAATGGTTTTGTTCCCGACTGTTCCGAGTTGGATTTGTCTGCGTGCATTACACACATAGACTAGGAGACCCATTATGTCTCTGATAAAGGACGTGTTGACTGCTAGAGAACGTTTTGAAGGATTAGTGATTGCCCCTATGGATAGGAATCCGGGTGAATCAATACTACCGTGCCCTGACACTTATTTTGAAGGCATGATGCAGACCTTGTGTGTAACCCTGGATACCGGATTGTCAACCACTCTGAAGATGAAGCCTGAGGGAACTAAGAGAGAACCTAAATCGATCAAATCTAAGTAAAGTTGTCCAATGGGACACCAGTGGGAAAATCGACGCTGCCTATGTTATTCCCAAACATAAGGACTTGAACTGATTTAGATCGATATGCCCATCGTTCATGAAACCGACGGTTCGGACTGCGCGGCTGATTAGTAAGGCGTTCAACAGAAAAATTTCCCAGAATTAAATATTCATTCTATAGTAAAATTACATTTTAAATTTTAAATTTTCATTCCCACGGTATTACATCATAAACCGTAAACCCTAAACCCTAAACCCTAAACCAGGGTCGCCACTGTCGATTTCGATCCAGCGGCCTACTGGTAGCTTAGTTGGTAAGGCACGCAAGTGGCTTTCAGGAGGATTTTGGTTCATCCCCTCATCTACCTTCCTTGGCAAGCTCAATCCTCGCTACCTAGAGATAAACCGTTGGTCCGCCCGAGAGGCATTGAACAGAGACTGCTGATGTTCCTCGGGGGAGGGGAGCGGAAGGGAAGCAAAGCAACTGACCCATCGAAGAAGCTTGGTCATGCTGCTATCGATTGACCCCTGGCCCTTATCGCCCACCTGCTGGAGCAGGTATCGCACCTGCAGGTCAGTGCAAATGTCCCTGCCAGGGGGTTCCCTATAGTACTATAATGCTAATTGACTTACCATGAGGGCACGGGTGTTCGGGGTGTGTAAGCGACACAGTATGTGTGTGCATGTATACAAGAGAAAGAGAGAGAGAGAGAGAGAGAGAGAGAGAGAGAGAGAGAGAGAGAGACCCGGATGGAGAAGTTGGGGGTGTGTACGCAACACAATATGTGTGTGCATGTATACAAGAGAGAGAGAGAGAGGGGGGGGGGGAGAGAGAGAGAAAAAAAAAAAAAAAAAAAAAAAAGTTCAGGGTGCGTACGCAATACAGTCATGGTGTGTATGTGCGTTTGAAAGAAAAAGAGAGAGAGAGAGAGACAAAAAAAAACAAATTGGGTGCGTACGCAATAGTACACTGTGTCTGCGTACAACATAAATTTCTTAGAATTAAAATAAAACTACGTTCTAAAATTTAAAATTTTATTTTTTAAAAAAATATTATTCCACTTTTTTTTAATCTTACTTGAAAACTTTCCTTCCAATAATGGGGTATCCATTTTTGTTTGAACTGCATACTAGAGATGGAATGAAAGTGTGGATGAGTTAATGATTTTTTTTTAATTGGACTATCATTCTCTTATGAGGAATTCCGATCATGAATAGGTTAATTCAATCTTAATTATAATATATTTGTTGTAATAGAATGAAAGTTTAATTAAGATATTTTCATAAACTTGCTCAGACTTCCGTTCTATCTTCAACAAATGGATGTAGTTGAAAAAAAAAAACCATTTTAGACGGAAACTTGTGAAATAAGACTGAAAATTTTATAATTGGAAGAACTTTAGAGTGATAATTTTAAAACACGAAAGGTTTTTTTTTTAATGAAATTTTTGTTCAACAAAAGTATGACGGCGTAGTATATGCTCCCCATGACCACGTGGCTCTCTACGGTTTCGAGGGTCGTATTCGACAGTCAAGTGTCGGTTCGCGTGCGTCCTGAAGGTTTACTCCTCATACCTTAGGCAATCGCAGATGTCGTTGCCCACCAAACCATTCTCTGCATCTTGCGCAATTAAGTGGTAAGGATCGCTTTACTGCAAGAAGTTGCACGTTGTGACTGGCAACACGCTGACCATATTGTCGAGGACATTCAATCCCCCCCAAACAACTTCCAACAAGGAACCTAAATCGTCATGCAAGCATTAACATTCGACTCGTCCAAGTCATGGACTTAGTGTTTACATGTGGCACAAACGCGCCCTTGACTATAACAACCACGTAAATAAAATAGGTGAATCATCCAGACAGAAAAGGTTGTGTGACATCAGATAATCACTCTCATAGTCATTGGTGTGGCTTGTCCATGAGCACCTCATAAGCACAAACAAACATCAAGACTCAAATTCAATATTTCTACGCATATTTGCGTTCACACAATTTCAACAATCGTGTGTCACACACTAACGTGGTCAACTTTATCGTTCTCTGCAACTCACACCCCGCTTTGCACACACAAACCCAAAAAAATATGGTCAACTTTATCGTTCCCTGCAACTCACACCCTACTTTGCACACACAAACCCCAACAATTGTCCACCTTTCTATAAAAAGATAGTTCTTTAAGGTAACCATTAAAAAAAACATAAGTGGAATTCTTACGAAACATATTGAACCCTCAAGACTAAGACTTTAGGTTGAGGTACAGATGCATACAAAGTTGTGTCGTGAGAACCGACATGCTATCAATGGAAAGCAGAAAGATGGATGATCCTTGATGGATCAAGCCAAAACTAGTCGAACCTTCGATAGTGATGACCAACATTCTAGTGGGCAAATAATCATTGTTGTATTCAAGGTCAATGAAGAAGGTGCTACATACGACTGTTTAATTCCTTTGCTAACTCCCTTTTCAACTTACCTTGATGAGCATCAGAGATTTATGAAAGTTTTGAGGATATCTCCCCCTATATGATCGGTTGTCAAAACTTTCACAAGACAAAATTTGACTAACTTCCCAAATTTATAGTAATAATTTTAAAAATACTTCCCATAAGAAGTAAACTCTCAATTTTTTTACAAAACTAAATACGAAAGTGAAATGCAACTAGACCTGGCATTAACTTCAGACACTTGAACCGCCACTCCCTCCGACGTCAAGAACCTCGGGGGGCCGGTAGTGTCGTTTCACGAGGGGTACCGGTAGCATAGAGTGAAAAACTTCGTGAATGGCAAAATTAAAATTTACGTCAAAAAATTAGAAATTCACCGAATCGGCGCGACAATTATTTCACAGTCAAAATAATTTTACTTATTTATTCTGATATTTTCCCTTGAAAGATCATGACGTCATCTACAGACCCTTAAATGTTCATAATTTTTGACGACTTCTTGTAAGCACGAAAAATCATGAAATTTGCGACTTTCAAATGACATGATTGAACCCGCCGGTGACGAACGGTCGCCACCCTCCGTAGAACCCATCCCTAACTCACAGAGTCTAGGGTTTTCGACTGTTGGGGGGAGTGGCGGCTTAAGTCAAGTGTCAAACCCAGAGTAGCCTTCATGATATTAGGTTTCCTCTAGGAATATAACAGTAGTTCATACTCAAATAAGGTCATCTCATTTTTTTAAAAGATTTCTCTCATCATCTATATCACTCTACCTATTGCTCTAGCATTGTGCAAGCATTTAAGCAACTACAACACAAAATTCCCATAAGAAATGAAAGATTAAAAAAAAATCCATTATAAAAAAATCCATATTTAAAAATTTATTATTTC